AATGAAATCGTCAGGCTGCATTCCATTCGTAACTGAAGGACTACCTCTATATCAACATCATAAGGTAGCTTTGCATGCTAACTTAAGACTCCCTAAAAGGATTTTTTTTAAAAACTCAAGTCAATGAATCCCTTGAAGATTTTATTGATAATTTTTGGTACCGGAGCTACAGGGCAAACACTAAAGGAGGCGACGTTAAGCAGTTTAAGCCTGATCATTAAGCAAATTGACGCTGAGGACACAGATAAGACCCCAAGTGGCCTCAATGACTCTCTAAAAGGATGCAAATGACCAGCTGTCTGCAAGGAGTATCAATCCTTCCATTCCCCAACATCCAGTCAGAGCTGAAGAAGCTTATCGGATGAGAATCAAAATGTCTTCAAGGAAAAATCAGAAAGTCCAGTTGCCTCTTGAAAAAAAAAATCACCTTTGAGATTCCCTGCAAAGTACTCCTTTTCTTTGCCAACAGGGAGTGGACCGACACCAATATTTATTATTTGTTGTGCTTTCCTCCGCAAATATAACTCTGTGCACATCACCAAACTCCACCATGATTTAATGCCCTGCTTGGAAATAGCCGACTATTTATAGAATTGTCCTACTTACCATACAAGCCGCCTGAACGGCCTCAGAGACGTTGCCAGCGTTGGGTTCGCACCAGAAGACGTGACACTCGAAATGCTGGTTTCCCGCATCCATAATGAAGGCGAAGGTATGTATGTCTTTTCCCACGCCCATGAAGGACAAGAAGCGGACACGACATTCCACCACAATCTCCTCTTCATTCTAGGCGTGAAGGGAAAGTTGTTGCCGTTACAGTTTCGTGTGCAAAATATACTTAATTTTTCATTATTTCGGTACATAGGTGGGCAGAACCCATGCTCCATAGGCCGCCTCCCATGGCTTAATCGTCTAGTTATAGTTAATTAACTTTCCAGTTAATTAGACTGTAGGCAGGATCAATGCAATTTCATTTAATTTTCTCCCCTTAAATCCGGGATAATTACTGTTGAAAGCCTCACTGATTTCGAGGGGTTTTTGGTATTTTTTTTTAGTCGTGGAATGCTAATTAAATTGACAGTTTGATTATTTTTGTAAGTGAAGATAGTAGCACATGGCAAACGGTAGCACACGCATCTTGAAAAGGCAGTGCAAAAATTATCATTTGTCACCGCCAAATCTGTTTTGACTGACACTACAGATGGAGCTTTCTGCGTTTCGCCCATAACCTTAAAGGCTTGGAGAAAAAATAAAACAAGGATGAAAAAAAACCAATCTTCTTCTTTCTTTGTCATTTTTAATGATCCCGGAATCTCTTGCATTGAGGTAGAGTCAGGGCAACTGAAGGAAGCTGAGCGTTTACTGGCTGGGTGCCCTTCCCATCACCAATGCAGAGTTTGTGTTAGCAATAGCAATAGCAGTTAGACTTATATACCGCTTCATAGGGCTTTCAGCCCTCTCTAAGCGGTTTACAGAGTCAGCATATCGCCCCCACAATCTGGGTCCTCATTTTACCCGCCTCGGAAGGATGGAAGGTTGAGTCAACCTTAAGCCGGTGAGATTTGAACTATTGAACTGCAGATAGCAGTCAGCTGAAGTGGCCTGCAGTGCTGCACCCTAACCACTGCACCACCTCGGCTCTCCCCGTCCTAATATAAATTGCATTCATTTGGGTCAAGCTGATTATGTGACAACTCACTCATTTTCTTTTTTTTTTAAAGGAAAGAAATAATTGTAAAAACTCAGCAACTTTCTAGAAGGATATACATAACGGGGGACCCAAAGACTCTCATCCTATGGATTNCCTTAACCTTAACCTTAACCTTAACCTTAACCTTAACCTTAACCTTAACCTTAACCTTAACCTTAACCTTAAATACCATTGATTTCAACAGCTCCAGTTTTCATTTGGATTTGATGACATGTTTCTATCTAAAGAACCCTCCTTTTGAATTCAAATTCATTGTCTAAAATGAATTAACTTACTGGCAAGTTAAGGGACTTCTTTTAAATATTATTTTTGGGGGGGCAAACCCTCCACAGACTCATATGTGATAAAGACTTTATGCTGATAGTAGTGAAATATTTTGAGATAAAGGGGAATAATGTTTTGCGTCTTGATATTGACAGCTCTTCCATGGGTTGCTTTATACTGCTAGCGATGACTGTTCACCCTATTTTCAGAATAATCTTCTAAATGCAACTTCTAATTGAAAAGCTATCTAATATAGGTGAGCTTCACTGCTAAACACTAAGAAAAATGGAAAGCTGTGGCTGTGAAGCTCATCAATACTTAGCAGCAAAGTTGAGGAGGTGTATAGATATAGTGGTCACAGGCTTCCCCACTATATTTTGTAATTTCCAATCAAATTGTAGAATTGGTCACTATGTGCTTCTCCATGTAAACGTTACAATATGTAGATTTTAGTCATGTGTAAGTTGCCAACATAGCCCTGGTTTGATGGTTATGTTTAAGTAAGGCACTGGTTGTGATACCTAGCTGGGTAATGAATGAAAACAACCAGCCAAAGAGAGTATCAAGTACTCCAAAGTCCAACCCTGAGTAAAAATATTCTCATATTGGTAATGGTTAAGTGACCACTACATGTTGGGAAGGCTGCAATAAGATCTAGGATTTTCTAATAATCTCATCAGAAATCTGGTATAACCTAATAACTTCTGGATTTGTCATCCACCAATCCCGCCTGACAGTTTTGAGAGGCTCTAAATGAAAACCTAATTTTCATGGTAGGAGTGGTAAGCTTCTGATACCCTTTGATGATGCGTCTCCTTTCATATTTTTAAAGCCACAACTGGTTCAACATCAGTAATGGTAAGAGGGATTTTGGTCTCCTAGTGGAGAACCACGTAAGTATGAGCCAAGAGTGTGCCGCAGCTGCCAAAAAAGCCAGCACAGTCCTAGGCGGAAATCAAGAAGGAAAATATCAAGATGACATCATTGATAAGACCACACTTGGAATATTGTGTCCGATTTTGATCATGATACAAAAAAAGATGTTGAGACTCTAGAAAAGAATGCGCAAAAGAACAGCAAAGATGATTAAGGAACTGGGGGTTAAACAGTTGCGAGAACTGTCTCGTCTATCAAAGAGAAAGATTAGGGGTGATATGGTAACAGCTTTCCGATATTTGAGAGGTTGTCACAGAGACAAGATAGAATAGAATAGAATAGAATTTTATTATTTGTATGCCGCCCTTCTCNGGGAGGGAGGGAGGGAAGAGGGGGGGATGTCAATTTTTGCTTTGTTGCTTTCTGATAAATCATGACTCAGGTCTTGAAATATATGGTTGTTATGGATTTGAAAATGTCTACAGCAGTTTTTTTTTGAACTTGGCAACTTTGAGATGTGAGACTTCAACTCCCAGAATTCCCCAACCAGCATGCAGAATTCTGAGAGTTGAAATCCACACATCTTAAAACTGTCAGGTTCTAAAAATACACTGTTCTTAAGGCAACAATTTGGGATGGGTGCAAGGAGTACGTGAGAAACATCCTATATATGTCCCATTTAATTTGGAAAATAAATGTGCTGATGGATATAACATCTGCCCTCTGTTGAACATTACTGAAATAACAGGTATTGAATAAGAAAGGGCAGGAGGCAAAATGAAATATAAAAGGGAAACTCAGGAGAAGATACATAGCCAAATCTATAACTAACAATAAATTCTAATAAGAATGGATTGTAATTCTTCAATAGAAGGATTGGCACCTTTTTTTTCTTTTTAATGATTTTATATACCCCACTTACTTGCACCACTAACATTCAGTGGCACAATTTTCCAAGTTTTAAAAAAGCAAATTAAAAAGCCAAACAGATATATGTGGTTTCTAGAGGGCTTTTCCCTTCAGTATTGCTTAACCCATCCCAGACTCTGAAGCAAAACAAACAAACAAACAAACAGTTTTTTAGCTTAATCACCCTATCACCACGCTGCCTCGCATGTCTTGGAGATTAAAGAAAAACAATGGTCCCAGAAGAAGAAAAAATGCCCCCATATTTTAATGGAAGTGTCAGAAAATAAAGGGAGAAATCAACCAATAAGACTGAATATATATAATATTTTTAATGTGGCCCAATAATCATTTCCAGCAATCCAAGGAAGTTGAAAACTTGGTAAAGACCCTTTAAAAAAAAAGATGAACAGATGTTTTGAGCACAGATTGCTGGATATCCCCAACACAATCATAACAAATCTCTGTGTTTGCACTTCTGCTCTATAAAGAAAATATTAATTTTAATGGCATTTATGACATCCCGTGCTTCTGCATTTCCTTAAATCCTACTGCAAATATTGTCAAATTGAAGTGTTGGCATGGCTTTTGCTGCAGTCTGCTCCAATTAATAGCCAGATGGGGTGGTATTAACAGCATCAAACAGCACATATTGCCCTGTTTATAGTCCCTGGTTGAGCATCAGTCCATGCAAAATATAGTCACAAATTTCATTCAGTTTTAGTCTCCCCCTCAAGTACAAGTTGCTGCTTTGTTTGAAGTCTGTGTTTCAGTGAAAGTGGTCTGCATTGGGAGGATAGGATTAGTTAGACGCTGAGACATTGATGGACATCAGTTGTTCAAGGGATGAAAGAGTAGGGAATAGGATTGCATCCCTATGTTCTCTTAATAGAAACCAAAGTTTTGGTGTATGTAGATTGAAGTTGCCAAAATATGGGTTTTGCAATAGGTTTTAAATGAAAATATCCTGAGTAAATCAACAGGGGAAAATTCCATTTTGACATGTATCTGTTGTGGCTTGCCAGCGGCCAACACAGCTGGCAGCAGAGTCAGACAGTGAGGAGGTTGGGGAGGAGCATGGGCCAGTCCTGGAGGCTGGAGAAGGCTCAGCGAGGGCTCTGGCTCAGAGGCAGAGATGGGGCCAAGGCCGTTTGGCAGTGATCAGGTGCCTACGAAGCTAGACAACAGTGAGGCAGAGGAACAGCTGGAGCCTGTTCCCAGTGTGCAGAGCTGCCAGAAGAAAAGAACAACTCAGAAATCAGGGTAGATTTGGAAGTAAANTATGCTCCGTGCGCATGCGCGAAAGCCCTGATCGGCTCAAATACCAGTAAGGAGTGCGGGTGGGCCCTCCAGAGCACCATACCGAAACGGTACCTGGTGCTCCCAGCAGGCACCAGTACGCCTGTACCGGGGCCTACCAGTCGTATCCCACCACTGGTCCCTTCCAACTCTTGTTATTTTGTATTCTGTATTCAAAAGCAAATTCTAGTCAGAGTGGAATGTGCTGTCAATACAAATTATTGGTTATGCAAAGCCAAGTCTTTCTGTGCCTGTGAGCATTTTCCACAATCTGCATTGGGAAAATATTTCTCTTCTAAAGTAAATTTCTTTTACTAATTTAACATCATAGGGCTTCTCCCTCCCCCCCATCTTGTGTCCCCCCCTTTCTTGAAATAGGCTGGTTGAAGATAATAGGAAGCAAAGGATGGGGAGACCACTATTAAAAACAAACATACCTCAGGGTGCAAATATTTGGGTTGTGGTTGAGAAAGAGAGAAAAAAGTTTCTTTTAATGTAAAGTTCCATTACAGTGCATGTTCTGGAAAAAAGAAAGCATAAGGAAACTACCTCTAGATCTCATAAGTATGTGCAGGGAAGCTTTATATTAGTATTCATTTATTCAAATTCTGTGACACAATCTATTTTTCTCATGAGTCCTTTTCAGCCCCACTGTGATAGAATGCCTTGGTACAGAAGTAGTTGCATATGAAAAAATGAGAAAATAACATGCACGGGCACATGGGAAGGGGGAGGGACAGTGGAGGAAGAAGAGGAAGAAGAGGAGGAGGAGGAGGAGGAGAAAGAGGAGGAAGAGAACAAAAAGAGGAGAAGGAAGAGGGGGAGGAGGAGAAGGAAAAGGAAGAAACAGAGGAGGAGGAGAAAGATGAGGAGGTAGAGGAAGAGGAGAGAAAGAGAAGGAGAGAGAAAAGGAGGAGGAGAATAGAAAGAGAAGGAGGAGAAAGAGAAGGAGGAGAAGGAAGAGGGGGAGGAAGAGAATGAAAAGGAAGGAACAGAGGAGGAGGAGAAAGAGGAGGAGGTAGAGGAGGAGAAGAGAAAGAGATGGAAGGAGAGAAGGAGGAGGAGGATAAGAGAAAGAGGAAGAGAAGGAGGAGGAAGAGAAGGAGGAGAAGGAAGGGGGGGGGAAGAAGGAAAAGGAAGAAACGGAAGAGGACAAGGAGAAAGAGGAGTTGGTAGAGAAGGAGGAGGCAGAAAGAGAAGGAAGAGAGGGAGGAGGAGAAGGAGAAGGAAGAAACGGAGGAGAAGGAGGAGAAGGAAGAGGAAAAGAGAAAGAGGAGGAAGAGGAGGAGAAGGAGGAGGAAGAAGAGGAGAAGGAAGAGGAGGAGGAGGAGATGATAAGAACTAAACATTGATCCAACACTACAGGCTGTTTAGAAGCTAGACCTTAGATATGGAAAGGTTAAAGGCTTTGACTCTTAAGCCTGAGAACCTTAAAAGCTTTTGCCCAACCATATTCCTTTTCATTTTTGGACATTAAAAAAAATGTCCTTGGTTCATTATGAAGGACAATCTAGGCAACACCACATCGTTCCAATCTTGAAATGCTTATTGATACCATTTTGCTAAATCACCAAATATAGACAGTACAGTACCATACAAAAAGGAACTACAAAAATAAAGGTCTAAAGACAGAAAGCTGCTCGGGGAGGACAGCTTTGCCTTGTCTCTCTTCATTCATTTCATACTTGCAGTTAGCAATGGCTGAAGACTCGGATTCAGTGGTCCAACAAGGATTTCCGTATCACCTGCGCTCCCTTATCAATCATGTACAGTTATGCTATTAAAAAATAAGCCATTTTTTTTCTCCCTTATTGTAGTGGACAATATCTAGTACAAAACGAGAGGCCTCAGTTTTAATCTCAGTTCAATATGCTTCAGATTTACTTCGATCTGGAAAATTGGTTTATGATGGACATGGAGGATACAAACGGAGAAGAAAAGAGAAGCAAAATTACCATACTATACCAAAGACCAGAATTATATCATTTTTTTTCCTCTTAAAGGCAACATTAGCTACGGTTATTTTTGAAACCAGGTCGCATCATGGCATTTTTGTTTTGATAAGTAAAAAAGTAAAACAAAACTCAAAAATCAGAGAAGGGGAGGGATAATTCACTAGAATCCAAATATTTATATTTATATATATATATATATCTTCTTAAAATTGTTAAAATCCTTCACAGTGCAAACAAAATGGATGCGCTGTCCCAGTCATTTAATTTACTAAGGGTATAAGATTTGATGCTAGCTAATATACAAACAATTAAAAAGGTAAATAAAATTGGACGTAATTCCCATTCGTTTACAAAAGTTTATATCAAAGAATCTGCATATTTTCTATCGGGCAAAAACATCCCTCTCCCAAAGACGACATTTATGGAAACCAAAGAGAAGACACCTGGTGGATTATTTTTGTGTTATTTCCTTCCATATTCTTCCTGATTCACAAGATGCATTTCTGGAACATTCCTTTGATAGCTCTGTGGAGATTTTCAGTCATCCAAGTCACAGTTGTCTCAAAGGTGCTTTTTCAAAAGGCAAATGGACTATTTTTATTTTCCCGAGGGGGAAAAAAAATGTTCTTTTGCTTTTCATCCAAGAACTGATGACACTTCTTGGATGAGAAGCGAAACCTCTTTTTCTTCTTCCTCAAGAAAAAAAAAACACAGTGCAGACGCCTTTTGAAAAAGCACCTTTGAGATTCCTTTGATAATTAGGCTTCTGCTTTCTCCCTGGTCGTAGAACTCCATCCGTTGGTGTTAGCATGCTAAAGCAACCAGAGAAATGATAAAAGTCTTCCGTCTTCATCCTTCACCATGACGTTGAAGGGACCATCAATACCAATAGAAATGTTACAGTTGATGAAGAAGTGGTAAAAGCATTTAGCCTGGATTGAGAATTTGTGACTTTTCCACCTGGTGGGATCGAAACAATAGAAGAAGAAGAAGAAGAAGAAGAAGAAGAAGAAGAAGAAGAAGAAGAAGAAGAAGAAGAAGAAGAAGAAGAAGAAGAAGAAGAAGAAGAAGAA